GTTCAGCCTTTCTGGCCTTTCGCTCGTCCAACTTCTTGGCACGAGCAAACCGATCTCTATTACGAATTCGTCGTCTCTCTTTCTCCATCCTATGCACTTGTGCTCGGGTGGACATATCCTCCGGTAATGGAGATGCACAAGATGAAAACGACAATTCAGAGATCTCCTCCCACCGTTCATGAGGATCATTGGGGTCTGGTCTCTCTGGACTCCCCTCGCTCAAGTCCCATGGTTCTGGGATATGTCTGAGCGCAAAGGCCATTTTTTCTGGCCAGTTCGTGTCCTCCTTGGCAATCTGATCTGCCATACCAGGACCATACCACCTTTGGATCCTCACCAGTCTGGCGGTGGCTAACCGTTCCCCAAATTGTTCGGCAGCCATCTGCCATCCTTCGTCAAGCTCATCAATGAGATCACTGTAGAATTTTGTCCACATTGCACGGCACGGTGGTTGCCGGCTATAAGGATCTCCAGTGTCTGGAATAAATTCCAACACCCTTGAGCTTTCTCCAGGTCCCCATTCCGGCAACGCAGGCCTCTGGGGACTCCAGTTATGACCTTCGGGCCTTGGCGGACTTTTTCCGCATACTGCTTGAGCGCTTTCTGTGAGCGACTTATCTCCCGTCCCGTCCGATCCACTAGGTATTCTAACATGCACCTGGGATTTGAGCCGCAGCTCCGGGATCTTGACCTTCCGGCCTTTTACTTTCTCAATTCGCCCTGAGGCTTTGGCCTCCCGGCCTTTGTATGGAGATATCCTACTTCCCATCGGTCGCTCACCTGGCGATGGGCTCTTCCGCTTAGGCCGCTGCTTGCTGGCAACCTTCTAGTCGCCCTCGGCTTTTGGAATGGTTGGCATGGGCAGCTCCGACAGACTGGGGGCCCTCACGGCCTGCACCACTTGTTGGGCGCTTTTCTTCTCTGCCTCCTGTGCCCGCTGCTTCTGCTTCAGGAGACGGTTGCTCAACGCCTTGACTTGGTCTTCGGTGGAGGTTTTGGCTTCTTCTGCCTCGCGGCTCTGCTGCTTCGCCTTCTTCATGACCACCTCGTTTTCTCGAGCTTCTTTCTTGGCCTTGTTGACGGCGATCTCCAGTGAGGCGATTCTCTCAGCGGTATCTTCATCCCGCTTCTCCCTCGCCTTCTTGGCCGCAGCATCCGCCACTTGCTCCAAGAGCTCCATGATACCAGGGGTCTGCAGCAACGCCGCCATGGTTCCCTGATCTTGCCCTTGTTTCTTCTCCGCCGTCGGTGGGGCACCCACTTCTCTCATCGGTTCATCTTCCCTTAAGGGTGCCGAAGTGGCTGTGGAGGGTCCAGCCTTGTCCTCCCGGACTTGTTCTCCTCCTTGCCCATCCCGGGCTTTAACATCACCAACCGAGGTTGGTGTCCCCTCCCGGGGTGTTTCCATCTCTCCCGATGCATCGGGGGTACCCTTACGGGCAGACGTGTCCGATTCCTCGGCCTCCATTGAGGAGACCGGGGAGGGAACCCGTCACTCCGAGCTTGCGCGTCCGCCCAGGCGGAAGCGTGGTCGCCACCCTCAGGTGGCTCCGAAACCAAATGATACGAAAATTCTATGGGTGTGGGGTTTCTGCCCCCTTTGAGCTGCGGACCCACCTCGCCGGGCACCTAGGTCCTTACAGGGCACCTAGGCGGGACCACCCCTCCTACTCCCATATCCATATAAGTATAATGGTTACCGTGGGACAAGGAATACAATACGATCTTGGGCAGGGCGTCCCCCACACCAAGGACCATTAGTAGGGCGTCCCCCACATCAGGCCGGTGCGCGTAACAGTAGGGGGGCTCTGCCATGCACTTTTGCCGTTTTTGGGTCTTGGTCTGTGCTTGGATGTCGGACCGGTCGTTTGACGGATTGTTGGTGTGTGGGAGGATGTCGTTGTCCTATGCTGGGCGTTAAAGTCGGACGGAACCGTGCTCCTGGATGCTTGGACGGTCATGGAGAGGGTTATTACTGTTTACTGCGGCAGATTCTGGGGCTGTGGTCGCTGAATGGCTTGGCTCTTGAACAGCTCTGGCTGAATTGTAATTCCTTGTTTGCTCCTCAAGCTGCCGATGTGTTCAGCCACAAAATGTACTTGATGAAGTAGCTAATATTGGTCGGTTAGTGGCGTTGTCAACGTTGTTTGATCATGCTGGGCAGATGAAGTTGATGTCATCATTTGCCATATCATTTATGGCCTGGAAATGGCCAACTTCAACAGGGCGATGCTGGAAAGGTGGAAAAACAGGAAGCCAAGGTTGACTCTAGGTGCTGCCATGTATCCTCAACGAGCTTCATCCAAACTGGTCGTTTCCCAGAGCATTCAGTACTCAAAAGCTTTCTAGGGCGATGCTAGGTGCCGTGGGCTCACGTCGTGTTGGCTAGATGAGTTGGTATGTCTTGACCATGCTCTGACCATGCATGGGCTTTCTTGCTACCTTTCCCGACTGGGACAGGCATTGAAACCCCCCCAGTGACTCTTATCCACTCCCTGGCAGAACATCAGCCTAGTAATTCACTTGAGTCATTGGGCTGCACGTGACATGTGCAGCTACGTTCGGAAGATTTCCGACAGTCACAGACAGGCGCTGGGTTTAAGTCTGCTTTCGGAAATCCAGCCGACATGCACCCGCATGCACGAAGGCGAGGGACCACCTGCCGCCATGGATGCATCTTGATAATGGAGCATGTGTTATCATCTTTGCAGGAATAGACCTGATATCGTTGACCCGGACATCGAAGCAATGGGTAACGCCCATAGACTGTTTGCGATGGGTGGTGACTCTTAAGAAGCATATGAGCCAAGAATTTGGAAGTATTGCTTAGAAGACACAGGAACATGGTATCAGGAGAAGGCAAGTGCTATTGTGTTGTGTTCAATTTGACTTGTAGTGTGTCTGTTAAAAAAGTGGGTGAGAACTAACATGTTTTCTACGTTTTTGCACACCGTTCGAGCCTAAACGCTAGTAAGAGATGAAACACATGTTCACGCTCACGTTTCTAAAATTCGAATGTGCTGCACATGTATATATTGCCATTCTGAAAAGTGCTAGTTTTTGTCGATGCGCTGGGCAGGCACGCGAATGTCATTTTCGGATCATGTAGTCGAGTCGACAGCCTGACACTCAAAAGCTTGTTCATTTTTGTGGTTGATGCTGCACCTATCACCCGTGGAGGGGAGGCGTCTCGGGTCCGGAACAGCACAGAGACATGAATGCAATCTAAAATACAACGTATTAACATATTTTATGCTTGCCATGACAAAACATAGATTGTGGTACAGTGGTTTGATGCAATAGAAGGAGTAGGTGAGTCAGGTGACCCACTCTCGTCGTGATCACCCCATTGGCCGGTCCTTCACCGGATCCTTGGGGGCCCTTGCCTTGTATTGACGGCTATCTAAACTTGCCAGAAGCGCTGGGCTGCCTGTCGCGCCAGAGCCTGTAGCCATCGCTGGGGAGGTTGAACAAATCACGTAATTCAGTTCTTCCCTTAGCCGAACCTCTATTTCATGCGTGAAACTGTGTCTCATACATGTGTATTCCATATGGAATGCGAGGGCGCGGCTGTGTTGTTTTCGACTTTCCCACACTTCCAGCACAGTTCCGCACAAGAAGCAACGAAATTCATAAAGGAAGTAAGAGCATCTTTATCGGTGGGTGCTATTGTCCCGGCGGTGCTATTTGGCTATTCGAATTGCACCGCACGTCAAAAAACCATCATTAACGGTTGGGGAGCAATAACACCGCCCATGCTATTCGGCGCCGAGCGGTGCTATTCTGGGCCCGAATAGCACCGCTCGAGGCCAAACAGCACCCCGGAGTAGCACCCGGTGCATTTCTCGCAGAACACTGTAGTGCTGCCGTGATGCTATTCGGCGTAGGAACAGCACCCACCATTGCGGATGCGCAGAGGGGGGCAATAGCACTGGTGCTGTTCGGCAAATGCCGCATTAGTATGGTGGCACGGCAGCCAATGAGAACCGTTCCTGGATAGCTCAGCCGGTGCAATAGCACCGACCGACAAAGATGCTCCAAGCAAAGTCCACACACGACAGCAAAATCGAGTCAAAAAACCGGGTCCACGGCGCACCCACCCCGCGATCCTCAACCTACAACCGCCTCGGAAGCCAACCAGAGATATCGCCCGCCGACTCAGCCGCCCGCTACTGATGCAGCCCCGCCTCGCCTCCAACACGCCGACCTCCGCCCGCCCGCCCTCCCCGCCCTCCCGGGCCGTCGCCAAGCGCCCCAGACGCCTCCGCCACCTCCTGCGCCGCCCTCCGGCGAGCCGGCCCCCGGGCAACTCACCGCACCTGTCCGCCGTGGGACTTGTCACGCATCTGCGCGAACCCGCCCCGCCCCGTCGCGCTTAGGATCTTTGCTGCACCGCAGACCAGCACAACCAATCGCCCTGGCCTCTGAGGCGGGACAGACGGAATCGCAGATTGCTTCAACGGGCTTGGTCTCCAGAGCGCTTTGACTCTGCCCGTCGGCAGAGAATCTGAGCCGGGCGCTGCGGGCCACACCGCCGGAGCCCCTCGCAGCTGAGTCGAGGAGGGGCGATGGTCATGCTGGACGGGAGTCGGGAGCCGGCGCTGGCGCGGCCGGTGGCGAAGATAGGTGGGCGCCGCGGCCCGCGCTCGGGCGCCCGTCGCCGCGGCGAGCCGCCCGAGGGATGGGGCATTGCTGAATCGCGCGTGCGCGACTTGTCGCGGCAGATCAGCCCACCAGCATCCACCACTGGCAGCTGCGGGACCTGGTGGCGTGCGACGACGCGGGGTCAATATACTGCGTCCAGGACAGCACCACCGTGCGTTACGACATCGCGACGGGAAAGGTGCGCTCAATCCCAGCCCTGCTGTGGATGGCCCCTCGTGCCCGTGCGCATATCATCGCCTGCTGCGGCCGAGGGCCCTTGACGCCCAATTGTGGCAATCCGCTGCGCGATTTTGCAGGCTTCCACTGTGCAAGCGTTGATATTTCCGCCCAACTGCATGACTGTGGACCATGGCTACATTGCCGCCGGGGGACCGAACAGCCAGGTGGGAAGGAATCGGCCATCCTTGCATTGCCATTAGGGTCTACTGCCAGAACGCTCTGTAGTTCGCTGAAGTGGCACTTCGGCACGCGGGCATCTCAAGCCTGAGCGACCGAATCTGAAAGGTGTTTGTGAGTCTTGTTGCTTGTTGCATCGGGAATGGTCAAGAATGTGAAGGCACTACCCTTGCAAGTTGGAAGGTGTGCAAGTGCATAATTTTGCTTGAACTATTTAGTTCAAAATGTTCATCCGTTTCCCAGCGCTCAGACAGTTGTTGAAGGTTGTGTCTGGGTCAGTCTTGCCCTTCCTACACCATTGGCATGTTGACCAGTCCATTTTTTGTGCATGCTGTGTGTTGTTGACATCATGCCACCCAGAAAGTGAGCAGGGCGACTGGAACCCACAAGACTAATTGCGTTGGTTGCATTGGTGCAAGTGTTTGACAGCATTTATCGATGTTGACCGATGGAGGGCAACTGCATGCATCCACGGTATGTTGTTCCAAACTGCTTATTTAAGCCCCGGCACTTAGACGATAACTTGTGACATTGTGCATCACAGATTGACATCAAGAAGGTGATGGATGGTGAAGAAGTGTACAGTGGTCAGGTTGGGGGCATCATAAACAATTCTCTGAGGATTGCAAAGGGGCCGATAGGTGGGCAATGTTGTCAAGTCTTGCACATTTTGTGTCTGCGAAAACAACTGGCAACACCACTTGGCAGATTTCGTTCAGTACGGCAATTGGAAAAGGGAATCAGGCCCAGAAACCTGATAGAGATGTCCAACATTTTGTTGCATCTGTGCTGAATGGTAATGCACTTGCTGACCGAACTCCTCTTGTTTCCATACAATGCCCTTCAGCTGGCCGGACAAGGTAGCTCTTTGCCATCATTTCCCTTAAAAGCACAAGGGTACTGTTTGTGTCTGCAAAGGCACCAATGCAGGGAATTTCCTGGGGTTAAATTGACTACAGGGGATGCACTGACTGACTGCCACTTCTTGCAGGCCTCCTCCTGTTTGTGTGCAACAACGATGAAACCATCAAGGTCTTCTCACTTCCATCGATGGAGCAGTATGCCACTCTTGAGTACGTGAATGGGCCATTACCGATGCTGCAAGCGAAATCTGGGGAACAGCCATCTTTCCGCTTCCTTTCCCAAACTACTGGACGAAGTGACTGCAGCTTGTGTCGAAAAGCAATGCATGGTTACGACAAGTCCCAGCAGGTTGCTCCTAATCCACCACCACAACTTCGGCATTCTGATGTTGTTGTTGTTCATCTCAGAAAGAAGGCACATTCTAAAGACTTTTCCATTCCGGGTGCCATCACTTGGCTACTTATGCAATCCCACACGAAAACTGGGCCACGAGCTGCAGAAATCCACTTTCACCCCATTTGTCGCCTTTCACAGACAGTGAATAACACTTAGCACCAAGCATGGTCAGTAAGTAGTAGCGAGTAACCAATTCTTGCTTGAAAGGGTGTGAAATGCCTGTTCAAGGCAGACCAGCACCCTTACACCTTCTGCACGATCTCTGGAAACTCAGCGATTCGAGGCGCCACGGAGGACGTTGGAGCCACGTGCTGATGGTCGGGGCTGTTGTGGTTTTGGCAGTTTCCAAGAGTCGATGAATTACTCTGCTGTGAGCCATGACTGCCATTGGCTGGTTGGCGTCGGAGACAGTGCTTCAGTGTACCTGTATGAAGCGACTGCCACAGGTGTGCCGGGGCTCCTGGTGAAAGCTGGGCTGTCCAAATTGGTTTTGTTATGCCATGTGGACCCGTAAATGTGGAGTGCTGTTGCAGAAAGCTGCTTCAAGCGGTGCATTGGATTGCACACACCAAAGATGAGAAACCATACCCAGGCACTTGCTACAACAAAGCAACCACCAGTTCTGACCCTTCATTCGATTTGTGAGGTTATTGACTGCCATTCTCCCATTGTTGGTTGCCAGTTTCCCTCAGTGCAATTCGGGCAGAGCTTGGTTGTGCGATTGACTGGACCATGCCGCTGCATCAGCACTGCCGCTGGCAGCACGCTGCCATTGTCGCTGCTGCTGAGCACCCAATACTACTAGAAGTTCTAAAGGATGCATTGAGCTGGGTGAATTCTGCCTTTGTTAGGCTTGTCAGAAACAAATGGCAGAAACAATGCCCTTGCACGTGGGGATGCGATGACATGCACAGCCGCAGTACCCCGGCGGTGCTGCGTTTTTGTGTTCCTGTGAGGTCCCAATCCCAATCCCGGTCCTAGCTGGTTGTCCAGTCATCAATGCGCGTCCTCGCGCCTGGTACTCAGCTACTGAGTTCAAATTGTCCATAGTAATAAGATAAGCGCCGTCTCTCGTTCACATCCAAATCTGGCGCTTCCCGCCCTGTGCCGTCCCAAATGGGAGTATAATCGGAGTATAAAGCCAAAACTCGCCCAAGTAGCACCTGGCAAACTGACAGTCAACGTGAGGGAAAAGCCAATCGCCCCTCAGAATATCTCAAGTAGCAGAAAGAGGTCCTGCAGTAAAAGAAACAAAACCCCAAACTGTTGGGTTGTGGAAGTGCTCAATTGCAGGAGTGCTTCAAGCAGCATTGTCAGCGCACGCAGCTGTTCAAAGTGCATCACATGCACATCACGTTGTCGGAAAAGACATATGTATTTAGTGTTGGCATGTTGGGTACCATTCCACAATGATTCAGGTGGGAATTAAACATTGTTGACACAATCCGCAATGCCCAAACATGCCAATTGAGGATAGCTACTGCCCTTTCAAATGCATGGTGTACCAGGGCTTGTACACCTTGGAGGATGCAAAACACTCTGAGGATACTCTTCATCGCCTAGTTGGTTTACCTGGATGGTATTGGCCTGTTTTGACAGAGTTGGATCTCAGTTTTGCACACGTTGTCTCATCGTTATGGGCGATCGCAGTGAAAGTGATCGAGAGAATTGCAGCTTGCTACCATTTGCCCTAACACCTGTGTGGATGGGTAAATTCCTTTATTTGGAGATGTCTTTCAAACCTTGAGTGGGCAACTCTGCATGCAACGACCTTGGCAACGACCTTTACCTGGATGGCGCATCGTGGATGCTTTCAATAATATCCGTCAATCTTCAACTCCAGAATTAGGGACTCAGAAACTGTGTTGCAGCCTGCTATTATCTGAATTTGGATCAGCCTGCTCTGTTCAAGAGGAGTGTTGTCAAATGACCTAAACGCATACTTTGGAAGAATCATTATCAATTCTTGTTTCTGCGTACTTGCTTCAGCATGGCACACGATACACAGGATCAACATGGCAGTTGCAGCCCTTGTGCCTGCAAGGGAAGAACTGCTGCAATTCTACCAAGAGTGCATTGCAACAACGTTTGCTCATTCCCTGTACTTATCGTTGTTGCCAGGATACAGGCGGACGCACGAAATGAAGGAGTACCATGATGTGGGAATGTGCTGTGCCTGGGACTCCAAAGGGGTCCGGTTTGCAGCGGCCAGCCAGGATGGCACGACATGTGTCTGGGACAGGCGCACCTGCAAGCCTGTGCACAAGTTTGCGTGTGGTGCTCCCTGCCGCAGCGTCAAGTTCAGTGCTGCCCCGATGGACTTGATGGCGTTCGCTGAGGAGACGGACGTTGTGCACCTTGTAGACACACGGAAGTGGTCTCAGCAGCAGCTGCTGAGAGTGCAGGGCACAACCGACATGGACATCTCTGGGGTGTGCTTCCAGCCAGACGTGAGCCTGTTGATGTTTACCTCTTTTCTCTGCTTTTCCTGGGTTACAGAATGCTATGTCACGGGAGGAGTCCAGGAGCCACTCCCCTGTCACTGTTGCTGTTGATCGGCGTACATGGCCTGGGAACGATAGAAAGCGTTGTGTCTCCATGCCCACATTTGCATGTCCAATAAGTCCACAAGCAACAAGCCATGAATGGCATTATTGACTCGTGTTGTCTTTCCACTATCGCGTTTGTCAAATTGAACTAGCCACTGCTAAATGCTTTTTGAAGGCGCTATTGTGCATTGATGGCCTTGGTCAAAATATGCGGAATTGTTGCCCTGATGCCCGTTGGGCGCTTATGGGATCCTCAATGACAGCAAAAATAGTTTCAAATGCAGTGTGTGGCCCCATTGGCAGCGTGTTGGCCTTCCACATATTCCTTTTGTGAGCCCAAAAGTCAAAAATTCATGCTGGTGATGAACTGTGCGGGTTTTATGATGCCGCCACGTCTCAGGTGCCGTATGGCAATGCCAGTAGTGCTCCAGCGCTCCCTTTGTAGTGGAGACCACACATGAAATGGGTTCGCAATTGATTGATTGTGGCTGATGTTGTGCCGCCAGGCAACAAGTCTGTTTGTGGGCCTGAAAGATGGCATCATGAGGTATGACATCGACACTGTGGCCAGGAGACGCTTTTCTGAGGGTTCCTTGATCTAGGTGGCGCGATGGCGTGCTCGCTTGTGAATTGGTAGTGTCACGATTTCATGGGTTAGTGGGAGTGCGATTGGCGCAGTGCAGAGATTTCAGCTGTTTTCATAGTGTGCCTGGACTTTTTGGACTTTGATGGAGTTGCTTTTGGAAGTGCGCACCAACGCGTACTTGAGGGATTGTTGGGCTTGGAAGTTGAAGGGATTTTGCTGGGGCCGGGGTCGAGGCAGAAGCAGAGATGAAACCCCAAGTGCAGATTGAGGCAAGTGTGTGATTGGAAAGATCAATGGACGCTTCAACTCAACTGTGCAGGCCCCCCTGGCCGCTGAACAAAGGGCGCACTGCAATACGAGTAACCTTGTGGTGAGCTGCTGCCGTGTGGTTAGTTATTTTGACAGCTTCGGAGTGACGTATCGAGGCTCTGAGAGAAACTGCGCAACCTGTCAGTCTGGAGGGTGTGAATGTGGCGAGTGTCCAACAGTGATTTCGAGGACCTCATCAGCGGGATGACGTGCTAATCAACAGAAAAGGGAGAACTCTTACTGCATCGTTGTCCATGCCCTTGTTTTCTCTTGGTCTTTGTCAGATTGCTGTTGGAGCTCAGCGTACGCTAACGGCCAAAATGACAGAGCGTTTGCATATCCCAGGAATTGTGTGTGACAAAGTTTGGAGGGGTGATTGTTTAGGCGTGAACGTGTGCGACCCAGTGCCCTGTGTGCGTCGACCCAGTGTCCCATGGCAGGGGCACGAACGCCCTGGCATGCCTGCAAGAGCCGCCAAGTATGCCTTGCTTGCATCTGGGCTCGCTTTGTCCGATTGGGCGAATATGCTCAAACTGTTTGTGCACAGTGTCGCTCATCCGCGAAGGCTTGATATGTGGTAGAAGTATATGATCTGGGCGGGCGTGGCACGCCACTCACATCCCATATGCACGGCTGAGGAGGGCAAGTTTCGTTGCCGTTCTGCTTCGAGACTTTGGGGAGAAGGGCGTGTACGAGAGGGAGGACATGCGTCCACGGCTATTGCTGTGCCAGCGTCGGAGCCTCACGCCATCTTGTATTTGGCACCGTTTTCATGACGTCTGAGGTCACCTACAGACCCAAGGGCACGTTGCAACCTGGAAATGAATCTGCAATCAAATCTGATTGACACACAGCACAGCGTCGTAACAATCATGAGCCGGGTGCTATTGATGCCATACTGCTGGTTTTCCCTCAGCATTTAGTTGCACATCTTTTCCCAGGTGAAAGAGGGACCTGGCGGCTGCTGCTCTACATCTGATATGCAGCATTCCTCGAGTCATTGACACTGCCGCGCCCATTGCTGGAGCTGCGACCGACCACCAGCTGCACCCTTCTCTGCATAACGCCACCGGCGCTCGCCCCCAGCCACCATAGGCTATGGTCCGCAGCGTCCAAAGACAAGGGAGTGACAGTGCCGTCATCATCATTCATTCGAAACTGTTGTCATCTAACGCTTTAAGTCTTACATATGTAATACACAACAAGGCAATGAGGTAGCCGTCAGCTTCATATTTTGCCCAAGCACGGCAGTGTCCGTGGAAATCTAATGTACAACACAAACAGTGTCCAGGGATCCATCAATTCCCATTACCGAGCTGTAACAGGGCCACACTTCCCCACCCCAGGTGACGTCAGCCCCTCTGACGTCATCCGACATCATCACCACCTCAAGTGCCCCTCCCATTTACCCCGCCTGGACGGGAAGACCCTGCGCCCCTGCCCGCCCACCAGCCCGCCCACAGCTTTGCCGCGAGCCCCCGGCCCCCAGCAACAAGAAGGAAGCTTCCCAGAGCCGGGCCCCCCTGGACCAGCAGGCCTGACCCATGTCGTCATTCCTGACCCGCCTGAAGTCGTTGGACGCTTACCCGAAAGTCAACGAAGACTTCTCGAAGAAGACCTTCTCCGGGGGGGTCATCACCCTGGCGTCGTCCGTCCTGATGACGGTCCTTTTCGTTTCCGAGCTTCGTGAGTGGGGCGCCAGGGCGTAAAGTACTGTGTCGCGGTAAATCTCGCTCAACTCCAAGATCCATTCACAGTGAAAGAGAGCCAGCAACCCACCGGTTAGATTGTATTTGAGACAACTGGAAACGCAATTTTTCTGGAGGCCATTCTCCCATGCAACCTCGGGACCAGTTCTTGCCTTGCAAATGCTTTCTCCTCTGAGGCTTCTCCATGTCATGAATTGTTGATGCACGGAATCGTGATGCATCAATGATGCTCATTGATTCGGGGAAAGATTAGTTTGTTTGCAGCAAGGCAAAATTCCATGTACGTGAGGTTCTTGGTCAGATTTCCATGGCCTCACCCAGACATTGCTCACCAGGGCGGGAGCCCTTTGCTGGCGCATTTCCTTTTCTCTTGGCGAAGAAAAAAGAGCGCCGCCTCCATCATCTCGATGGTGTTTAGGTCTCCCTTGATCAGTACAACTTATATATATCCTTTGCGCGTCACCGCAGCGGAAGCAGACAACGACCGCAAGGGACATTGCGCGCCACCTATTGAAACCCGCCCACCCCCGTCTGCGGCCCTTTCTCGTGTCCAAAATTCACCCCGACAGCAATTTTTTAAGGGGAGATGCGTGTGGGTTTGCGGATGAGCAGGGCTGCACCTCACGCCCAAGACGACCCACGCATTGAGGGTTGACACATCGCGAGGAGAGTCCATTTCCATCAATGTGAGTTCCCCGTTCCGGGAGGTGGCGCTATTTCTCGAACCGGACACTCCCGAACTGAGTGGACGTGACCCGCCTCGAGGGGATCGACCACATTCGCGCCCTTTCCAGCACGCATGACTTCGGCGGCGGCAGGATTGATCTATCCGGGTGTTCAGTTGAGACAATCGGTAACGCGCGCCCTTCCCGCAGTTCGACGTGACATTCCCCAAGATGCCGTGCTCCTGGATGAGCCTCGACGCCATGGACATCAGCGGCGAGCTGCAGCTGGACGTGGTGAGTCGTCTCAGAGCGCTCCTCGCGCAAAGCTGTGCCGCGCAATCAGGCGGAGGTGTCGCGGTGCCTTCAATTACAGTGAATGGAGCTGCGTTTGATTGTAGTCAAATGCCGCTGCCTTTTCCTTCAAGAGGCGAAACAGAGCCCTGGCACTTTGTCGACTAAAACGATCAAGCAATGGCAGTATTGGCGTGTCCCATTTGGGACCCGCGTTTGAAAATTTGGGACCAGCCGTGGATAGAATTCCAGCGATAAAGTCTGATGTGAGTTTTCTGTTATGCGTGGTAGAAAAACCCGCTCAGACAGCTCTCGCTACGGCATTTCTCAGTATCGTGCAGCTCTGTGTGCTGCAACAGTCAAGTGTATGTGCAATCCCAAGAGGTGAAAACGCTAACGCACGCAACTTTATAAACTTGCATGCCAATCTCACATTGCGATGGGCAGCTGCTGGGCACCGAAGAAAAAAGGATACAAACACACACAGATTCAATTGGAAGTGTCGCAATATGTGGGAATACACCATACATCAGCAAAAGGTGTAGAATTTGATGCAATGTGTGTGTACAGTATCATGTATGGAATGCCGAATAGGGATGCAGTAAAGCTAGTGCATCAGCATTGGCACAACGCTCGCACACGCGTCAACGCTTATCAACGCTTTGTCCTATGGGCATTCGCTCATGCGGTGGTGGGCATTGCATCAACGCCCACTCCATTTCAGATGTACCAAAGTGTAAGTGTAATAATGTCGCTAGAACCCTTTCACAATGTACTGTAATATGTTGCAATGGCATTGCCAACGCAGCTTCCAGGTGCGCCTGAAGTGCGCCCCTGAATTCTTCCCTGCCGAGACGTGCTAAGGAGAAGTGTGCATTTTGTCGCTCGGCGAGGTATAGGACCACGAGATTTACAGGCGGCGCCTCGCCTCGACGGGAGAGCCCCTGGATGAAGGTGAGCCGCACGACATCACCCTGGGCAAGTCGCCAGACGATGGGGCGCGGAGCGAGAAGTACTGCGGCAGCTGTTACGGGGCGGAGGAGAGCAAATATCAGTGCTGCAACACCTGCAAAGAGGTGCGTCTGCTTCCCAAGACAAGGCCAGTCGCGAGCCACGCGACGACGGCCGTCAGCAATGGCGACGTGCTCTTGCCATTGGGCAGCGGCAATCGTTGAGTCGGCTTTGCACACGCTGCCAGCCTCAGCGCTTACAGTGGAATTCCGTGAAAATTTCCCATTCTGTTAGCAGTGGATAATGAAAATGGACCTTCGGAGGCTCCTGGACGCTTGCTTACGGCTGCGCGCTTTTCTTGGTGTCTGTGAGCATCTGTGCATCATTGCGCCTTCGCGGATAGGCAGCTTTAGCGTTGTTAAAGCGTTTACGTCTGGGACGGCGCAGGGCGGTAAGCGCCAGATTTGGATGTGAACGGGAGACGGCGCTTGTCTTATTACTATGGACAATTTGAACTCGGTAGCTGAGTAACAAGCGCGGGGACGGGCCCTGGTGACTTGGCAGCTAGCTTGGACCGGGTTTTTGTGCTCCGGTTTCTGGACTCACTGGCGGAGGAGCCGAAAGGGGACGAGGGCCAGTGAGCGCCATCCTTTTTTGGCTCCTCGGCATTGGGGACACGCAGACCGAAAAGGCAAAACTGTCATGCCCGAGTTCCGGACTTCTCTCGTTGTATATTAGTGTATTTGTACTAATGGGATTTGATTGAGACTTGCGGCGTGAGTGCGGCTGATTGCCCAAAGGGCGGGAGCTGCCGGCCGTTTCACGTAATCGCATATATTTGGAAGCTTTTGGGGATTTTCCACATATTGCGGATAGTATCCGCAAGTTCAAGTATCTGCATGTGCAAGCGTTGCCTGCCGATGGTTGCCATCCAACTGGGCAAGTTTGTTCCGCCCGTTCCCCAGGTTCACGATGCGTACCGCAAGAAGGGTTGGGCCGTGAAGGCGGCGTCGGGCGTGGAGCAGTGCGAGGGCGAGAGCCAGGAGCAGGCGCTGGCGCGGCACCAGGGGGAGGGCTGCGCCATGTGGGGCAGCCTGTCCGTCAGCAAGGTTGCGGGGAACTTCCACTTCGCCCCCGGCCGCTCGTACCAGAGCGGGTCGGTGCATGTGCACGACTTGGTGCCCTTTCAGGACAAGGTTGTGGACTTCAGCCACACGATCGGCAGACTGAGCTTCGGGGACACCTACCCCGGAATGCGGAACCCGCTGGACGGCGCATCGGCGAGCCAAGCGAGCCCGGAGAATGTGAGGGGCGAACCAGGCATGTTCCAGTACTTCCTGAAGGTGAGCGGCCCCGGTCTGGTGCCGCCTGAGCGGCCATACCTGCCGTGCCATTGCCTGGTTGCCATTGCAGTGTGTTGGAACTAGTTGAGACCTGAGCAGGTTTTGTGAGATCTGTTTTCATTACGCTTGTCGTCTGCTCCGGCACTTCTTCGGGTCGTCCATGGGAAACGGAATTGCAAGTACCTTAACCTAATCGGTTTTTTTCTGTGAACGGTTAGGTGTCGCATAATTCTCGATCGTTGATATTTCACGTCTAAGCCACCTTTCATTGCCGAGAAGTGTGCAATTGCAAAATGACATAAATAGCATTCGAGCTCCTTATCTATGGCGTAATTTTTGGTCGCGATATTTTCAAAGGCAGCACCTGCCTTTTACGGAGACCTGGTCTTGGTGACATGCTTTGGCAATCACAATTAATAATTATATACCTTACCCCTATTGACGACGCGAAAAGAGTATGTTGGCATTTCTTCTGGAAGAAAATTGGTTTCAGCTGTGAAACCTGTGATGATGCTGACTGCATTCTTTAAGACACACTTTTTGAGTCCTTTCACGTGGTTGCTGCTGCTGTGGAGTCAATCAATATCAAGGCGAACTTGGCTCAACTTTATCTGGCAGCTCTAGGAAATTCAAATGTAACTTTAAATTGTACATATAATAATTGTTAACCCGACGGTACCTATAATAATTTTAAATGTAAATTTCCCACTGCAGGCTGTAGGCGGCAGGAATGCCGTACAATGTTGAAGCCTTCCGTCGACTGCAATATTCTGTATCCTGCAGGTTGTTCCGACCATGTACTGATCATGCAATGGTCAAATATCAACAATCATCTTGTGTCGGGCCTATTAGATGGCGTGGTGTACTACGGGCACAACGCACTGAAAAAGAAAATAGAACTGGGAAAGTTGATATAGCCTTGGCTGCGCACGATCGCCATGGGGGGTGGGAATTTTTGAGGGGATTGAATAGTTTAACAGGCTTCCAAAGCGCTTGAGCGTGGCATTGGGGATTTCTTGCCCTGCTTGTGGTTGGCGCGAGGATATTGCCACTTTTAAGAAAAGCACTGAAAATTCGAGACACAGTTGCCTGCGCCAATCAGCGAAGCATCCCAGAATTTTATGCACGCTGAAACCAATGTTGTGATCACCACAATGTGATGTGCGTCCACCATGTGAAACGGAGTATTTGAGATGTTCAGGGCTTGGCATAACACACCGTCATAGATCAACTAGGAGCTCGTGGGACACCGCCGGAAGGGTCCCAGCCGCAACCTGAACAGTGTCAAGGGGGCCCGACTCCTTTTGCCAGTACTTGTGGGACGTTGCTTACTGCGTAGCTGCAGTGTGGGAGATGGACGAGCATGCCAGGGTTGCGGCGTCCTGCACTAGCAAAAACCGACGAAATATCACTTTTTCCGAACACACATATATGCATTTCATCAGTGCTCTGCATGCTAAAAGCACGGAAATAACCCAAAACTGTAAGCTTTGTGCACTTTAAACGTCCAAACGTTCAAATTTTGAACGCGTGTTATTTGGCCCTTTTGTTCCTAGTGCTGAAGCCACATGATAGGTTTGTGCTTCTGAACGCCAAGTACAAGGCGTTGTTGTCCCATGGCAAATTTCGGTGGCGTTGTCGTCGCATTGCAACTGGGCGTGCTGCGACACCCGCGGGTGACCGCAAATAACAGGAAGCCGTTCCCATGAATAAATTATAATGGCCCCTCTTCCCAGGCTTAGTCTTCCAGCCGCGGCAGTGAATGGTCTTCTTTCAAATGTGCTTCTGGAGCAGCATTGCAACTTTCTGCTTCCCAGGTATCTTCAAAGAGGAATATCTTCTGTAGAATCTTCTTCTCCCTCCCCCCTCCCCGACTTTCAGATGTACTATTGCGATATATATCCAATTGCAAATGCATAAATGTGGTTAACTATGTGGATATGTACAATATATGGGTAATATGTATCGTATATGGTCAAATTGTGATTCCTGTGCACGTTCAGGAATCTTGACAAGCATGTCCTGAAAGAACGCGTGATAGGCATCCAAAGCGTGCTGATAGCCACTGAAGGGACAAACAGACCGCAGCTAGCCCGCAGACACACAACTGCTGCAACTGCGCATCGAAGACAATGGCTCCAGCTGCTTTTGATCCACCTTGATCCAACCCCGCTTAGCATGATTCACTCCTGCCGTGGGCTTCGCGCTGTACTCGGGTGTTCCAGTGTGACATTTCCCAACGCCCAAAGATGCTTCGGTCGGTCCGACAATCTGCGGGCACAAAACCTCTGGCACGATGTACCCGTTGTATTGCATGGGGCTCTTCACACCAAGTGTACTGATTAGCATGGTGGACTGATAAGCTGCGCAGCTGATCAGCTGACGACCGCATAAACATTGAGCAAGCGATCAATGCGCCAGTGTACAATGTATACGAGGTACACCGAATGTACACTGTACATTTAGCTGACGAAATTTAGCACCATTGGTGAATCTCGTAGCGGCAGCATACGTTGCACTCTGCTTTGATGCTGCCGTCACGGTGGGCCTCCACAACAGCTCTGCGATGCCAACAGTCCTGTCGCAGTGCTGTGGCCAGGCATGGGGCAGCCGGCCGCGGCGTGCGCAGTGGCCGCCCCGAGCAGAGGCGCGAGCAACCGCTTCGCGGATTCGCCACCGACGTCGACGGCAATTATCGTCGTCGACCCGCCCCGCCTCCCTGTTGCCTCTTGCAAGCTTGCAGCTCTCAAGAGTCAAGAGGAAGGTGCGGCGGGAGCATGTGATGGGGCTGGCCACCTCCGATCCGAATGCATGCGTTCCTGTGAGCATCAGTGGATTCGATGGGCGCGTTTCCGTAGGAATCCCGACTGCTGAAGGCACCGCGTACGGACTGTCGCCCTGAATTGCACAATCAAGTGCGACGTACACATGCTGCACGCAGTGTGCGTGTGCCTTCCGTGGATTTACATCCTGCACAGTAAAAGCGGACGAGAAAGGACGTGCTGTTGGCCCGCGGCCTGAAATATCGTACCCACCCGCCAACGCACCTAAAAGCGGCGCCGGATGCGCCCGCGATGAAGCAACACGCACGCCATGATCCCTCCGTATGGAGATGTGGTGGCATCCATCGGCTTGAGAGCAGCTACTCTCATCCCAGCTACTCTCATCCCAGCTACTCTCAGCTAGTCCGTAGGCGTAACTGTTGCCGCGCTCATACATATCATAAGAGCGATCAGACAACCGCTCTTAATGGCGCGCACGCAAGCATGCCTGCCGCATCTTTGTGTGCATCACAGGCCGCAAATGCAAGATCGCGCAATTATACGTGCGCGCATTGGGGATGTTGAGCCGTTTGTGCTGACGACCGAGAACTGCACGGCCGTCACGTCTTGTGCGTTGCACCATGAGCACTGCGCGACCGAGCGCCCACGGAGCCCAGGAGCGAAGAAGGCGAGGCCAGATGCATTTAAATGCATCATCATCATTAAATTTAATGACAATTCACGAAGGAGACGAGGACGGCCGGGATGCAGGTGCAACGCCAATTCCTGAGGACAAAGCTGCTGGAGCAAAAATTGTCTTTGTCGGATGCTGTGCCTGCACATACTTGTTTTGCCCATGTACAAGTGCCATCAGACACATATACGAGCAGAGACGCGTGTACGCGTACGTAGCCTACTGCCCCATACATACGGGGCAGTGCGCCATGTGGCCACAGTCAGCGAATGCAGTCGCTACCGGCCCTCCCCATCAGGGCCAACGTCGACAACAGTTTAGGACTGTATACAAAAGCTAGTGCGCCTTTTCCTGGCAGACAGCGCAATGTGCCAGCTCGTAGGCGCCCGCAAACAAACACACCAGTTCTGCTCCCAGCTGTTTCACAACTAAAACTACTGTGTTCCGCACTCTCCCGCTCGTTTTCCGCTGCCAATCAGGCCCATCCGCGGCTTGGACATTAATGAACTCAGGATCAAGGCGCTTGCCTCACGGATGTGTCAACGCAAAGCAACGTGCACAGATCGGGATAGAAGTGCATGCGAGTGCTCAGTCCATCAGGCAAACGATATGGGGGCCGTGGAGGCTTAGTGGCAGAAAGGACATGGTGGCTGTGGAGGTACCTGGTGACGTCCAAGCAACTGCAGTAGTTGCTCGGACGTCACCAAGTGCAGCACAGCTGTCCTGTTCAAAACGGAGTTTGAACACTGCAGGGCCCTTCAACCACCTGTGTTTCTATTCACAACCCTCCGACTTTTTATGAACACGTGGACGTCCGGATGTACAGCCACGCCAGGATGTACTTAGCCTGGCCCTCGACCTGCATCCGCATAGGTTATTGTACTACCAGCCCGCTGCCTCCCCACGCGATGCGCTGTCGCGTACTTATGCGGTCGAGGGGGGGGGGCCCGCCGAGGAGATCACCGGAAGGGGCCGCGACGATTGGGCCGCTGCCGGGGGCATTGGCCGAGCGTCATGGGGTCGGCGAATACACAACAGGCGCGGGGCGCCCAGCGCGACCATGGCTGGCCGCGGCTGAGAAGGGCAAAGGTGACCGAAGGCGGCGGAGAATTGTGAACGCGATGGCGGCGAGGGCGGGCATGAGTGCTTGAAGAGCTGTCGGCGGCTGAAGCGAAGCCCGTGTGCCGGAAATGGCTCCCGGAGGCATCGCGCCGCGCGGGGTCTGGCGGAGCGCCGGCCCGCCGATTGATCACGTGCGCCGCCGGGCTGCATGGCGGTAGGGCGGCGCCCGGCGCGGCCTGCGCTCGGCCGGGGGCATGCGGCGCGCGGCGCCGTGGACCGGCGACGAGGTTTGCGATCCGCGCCTCGCGGGTTGGGCATGTCGCGCCTGGCGCCGCGATTCGCTGCCGCCCGGCCTCCCGGATCTGGGTGCTGGCCGTTAGTCATGCGGAGGTGCGACCGGCGCTGAATGCCCCGCACGTGGCGCCCGCGACGGCGGCGAGATTTTCAATTTGCGGGATGTACCGCTCTGTGGAAATCATGCGCAAGTGAAGATTGCCTCTACCCACGGTCGCAGTTCCGGCACAGCCGTTGTGTGCGGGTCACGCGCCCGGGTCAGGGGTTGGTTTTCTTTCTTTTTTAGGGTTTTCGGGGCCAGGATCCTTGTCTACTGAGCCCACGGGGAAGGCGCGGAATCGCCCTCAAAATGTGGTAGTATGATCACTGAATAAGCGGAGGTGGAGTGTGGACGTGATCACTGGATGTGGTGTGGTGATGTTGCTGGTTGTGGAATGGGAGAGTGATGGGTTGCCAGACGCCCCTGCTGTGCATGTGAAGGCACCCCAAGTCGGAGTCAGGGCCTGGCCTGGTTTAGGGGCGGTGTGGGTGTGTAGCTTAGGAGATGGTGCCTTTCTGTTGTGTCCAAGGGCTGTGAAGCATGGGCATGGCATGTGGGCAGTAGTGGCCATGGTGTTCAGGCGACACCACTGGAGGTGCAGCAGAATGTTCATCCACAGCTTGCAGGCTGATGCGGGATCACAGAATGGGATGTTGAAGCCATGCAGTCAGGCATGCTTGGCACCTGGGTTGTGTGAGGTGTGCATCGTCAAGCAGCCTGATAGATGCACTGTTGCACATGGCAAACTGAGGCAGCACATCTGGCAGAATCCTGCTGGAACCGTGGATCTAAAGAACAAAATAGGATAAAAGAAGGCAAAATGGAAATTCCCAAAAGGAACAGAAGACAGGGAAAGAAAATAATGGTGTTGGTGTTTGGAGGATGTTAAGGCAGGCTTGGAACTGAGCCCGCCGGATGCAGGTACAGTGCGCTGCATATCGACTGGGGGAGATGTGTTGCAGCTTCCGTGGCTTGCGTGCGCCCCGAGCAATTAAGTGTTGTACTTTGGGCCCATAATTCCGATTAAAGGCGTGCGTTCTCAATTTGGCAGTCGACTCCATCGCCACCACCGAAAAGGGGCGCGGCGCTGCGCGGCACCACGCCCCTTTTGCCTTTGGGGCCACTCGCCCCTCACAAAGCTGCCCCCTCGTGCCCCGCCCCTGCCAGGCGTTGAGTCAGGGCCAAATTTGCCCCTCATCTTCTCGTCTACCAACATGGTCCCAGGCCTCCCCCCCATCTTCGCGCACCCCCCGTCCGTCCCCCAAGCCCCTCCCCCACAGCGGCTTTCTGGCGGGCAGGGCGGCCGTTGCTGGCGCACGCACGGGGCGCAGGCCAACCTGCACGGCCCACCCCGCCGCCGGGCCCGCACCATCGCGTCGATCCGATCACCGCGCCCGCGGCCCGTCGCCGATTGAGTCCAGAGCGAGGGGAGCCCGCGGAGAACCAGCGCGGGGGGACGGAGGGGAAGGCAGCGAGGGGGAAGAAAACACACACGCCCGGGGCTCGACAACTCGGGCGGATTGTCTGCCTGGCCGGGGGGGGTTTGATGCCCGGCGGGCGGGATGCTGCACACGCTGGCTGCGGCGCCGCGGGCGCCCAGCCTGAAGCCTTTTCTGGAGTACGTCGAGCTGGAGAGCCGCAACCTGAAGGACGAGTGCCCCAGCGCGGTGGCGCCCGACGGCGCCCTGCTGGAGTACGAAACGTTGGAGCTGAGGGTGCACCCGCCCAACGTGGAGATTGACAACGAGGGGGACGAGGGCGCGACGATCGTGACCGTGGACAGCGTAAACCGGCCGGGAACGCTCGTCCAGGTACGGGGGCGGGAGATGTGCTGCGCGGCGGGAGGTTTCTGTACGCGCCGCGCCCGCGGATGCGTCAGCGGGCCGCGCCGGGCCGATGCTGATCCGTGTGCGATTGCCCGTGCGCGCAGTTGGTTCAGTGCCTCACCGGCCTGGGACTCCGCATCAGTCAGGCCAGAATATCGTCGGACAGAGGGTGGTTCGTCGACGGTGGGTGTCTGCGTGGAGGGTGCTCCGCCTCGGAAACGATTGCTGCTGCTTCGATCGGCAAGCCCGAACCCTCGCTCACGAAAACCCCTCCTCGCCAATCCTGCAGACTTTCATGTCACGGACGCGGACGGAGGGAAGGTGACGGACGAGCGGAAGCTGAGCGCGATTCGGAAGGTGGGGGATTCGCACGCCGAAGGCTGCCGCCGCGGCGCCCTTCAGCCCTGCGCCCGCGACCCAACACCCGGTTGACTTTTCTTGACCCCGCTCCCGCAGGTACTCACCGTGGAGCGCGCCCCGCTGGCGGAGGCGGGTGAGTGGATCCGACGGCTGGGCGCGCGCGACACTCCGATCGCGGCGATGGGCTCGCGATTGGCCGTCTTCGATCCGTGGTCGCCGCGCGGGCGGGCGAGATGCCGATTCCGGGACGTCCCCGTTGTCACTCGTGTTGGGAGCGCCCGCGGCTGCATCTGCCGCCGGGCTCGCGCGGTTACCTGCGGGGGATGGGGCCCGGTGTGGTTACAGAGTTGATCAAGCGTTGTCGCTGCTGTTCCAGCGTGTTGGGGCGACATAGCAAGAGATGAAGTGGGGGGCCGATGGCCGTCGCTGTTGTTTTTTGTCAGATTCCCTGCCTTGAGCTCAATAGCTAAATAACATTGTGCCTCCTTCCGTGCTGTTAGCACTCCAGACGCGTCCGCACGCGACTAAAGACAGGTTGAGAATCTGGGGGCCGATGTGGTTTGCATTGTTTGCATACCATGCCTCCAGATGACGATTGGTGCATTCCCACCAGCCGACTAGCAAAGACAGAATGCAGTATTTTTGGGGCCAGAAACAAGCAGGGCCTCTTGTGGGGAACCATGAAACAGCTGAAAGTAGTCCAGGGAGGCCCACAAGATGTCTGAGAGAGAACAAACGGCAGGAGTGCAGAATAAGGATCATGCCCTGCTAACTGCCAACTCCCCTTGCAGCGAGGCAGAGGTGGGCTGAAAGTTAGGGAGACGCGGCTTACCAGTAGTTTTGCTAATTGTTGCTGGTTGTGCTATGGCCGGTTAATCTGTGTTTAAGTAGTTAGGTTTAGGTGGTGTCACAAACTGTGGTGTGATTTGTGTAATGTGGCTGTTCTGTGCTGTCAACATCAGATTCTGCAGTCCTGGAGCTTGCTGGTGAGGACTGCCCAGGCTTGCTGGCAGATGTGCACATGTTGCTGGCACAGAGTGGCTTCGATGTCCAGTCGGCTGCGGTGAGTGGCCTGGAGCTCGAGGATGGCGGCAGGATCCTTTTGCCAAAGTCGCTTTACAGTTGGCTGTAAAGGCTGCCTTGAGTTTCATTGAGTTCTTTTCTGAACATGGAGCTCAGCGTTGAGTGTAGTAACGGGCAAACAACAACTGTCTCAAGCTTTCCTGTCAGCAGTGCTGGGCTTGAATGATGCTAGTGTGTTATCGTACCTGCAGACAGGTCATGCGGCACAGAATGTTCGTTTGAGCAGACATGCATGAGACAGCTCCCACAGCATCAAAGGTACATATGCTTGCCCAATTGATTGCCTCCAGAACCAACCCCCATTATAGCAAGGATGCTGCCTGTTGTAAGTGAGCGCTGATTGCTGGTGTGCAGGGCAGCAAATCTCAACTAGTTCACTTGTTGAGCGATGCCATGCCCAGTGGTGGAGCTGGCTGAGAGTTTTGCTGACCTGCAGGTGTGGACTCACAAACAGAAGGTGGGCTTTGCCATGAGTGTCTCACAAGCTGGAAAGCCTGTGGACTATGCAAAGCTGGAGACAGTTCGGCAAGTCCTGCTCACCATGCTGGGAGGCCATGGGCAGGGGGTTGCGCTGGTGCACAGGGTGAGACTCAAGGGATCAACCACGGGCATCTGATGTCTTAATGAGATGCACACTGGAATGCCCTCCCTTCTTGGGATGCTATGCTGTCCGAGCACAAAGTGGGCCGATGGATCTGCTATGCTGGCACACAGATCGTCGGCTACTAATGATGCTCGATGTTCTGTTTGGTGTGTGCTTGGCTGTGATTTTTGCCTGCTGTCATGGTTTTGTTATTGTGTTGTTGTCTGACTGCATTGTACTTGTCCACTATTCTGTATTTGTGGTGTGTGAAGAATGGTATCACAGTCAGATCAGCAAAGGTCACTCTGCTGTGGTGGTGCACATCTGATACCATTACTCATGGGGTGGAAATATTATTCTGCCATTATTTGCTGCCTAGCAATCACTTTGTCCCACTCACCTGGTGAACTATGTGTCATCCCCATATGGATGAATCTGGAATCCTTAACTTGAATGTTTGTGAACTGTGCTCCCTGCTGCCAGCCTAATCCTTGCCTCATGGCCACAGGTTCGTGGCAGCGTTCATCTTGAGCGCAAGCTCCACGTCCTGCTCCTTGAGGAGGAGCGCAAGCGCCTGTGCCTCAGCCAAGGCTGTTCAGGCGTCTACAAGCCTGCACCCCCCTCCCCCAGGCCTGTTCCTGGCATGGGCATGCGGCTGCCCCACAGGTGTGCGAATCTTTCTTTTGTTTGCCGGCTGCCTGTTTGTTGCTAGATGCCCATTGTTAGTTGCCCAATTCTCCATCGAAATGAAGCATGCTCAGGTACCTGCAGGATGTTGAAAGAGTCTAAGACTGCACCTTTTTCGCTCCTGATATGTTCAGGATCGTTCTCTCACGATGTTGCAACTGAACAATGGAAGGAATGTTATCGGCTGTTGAACTGTGGTATGAGCTCCCAGCCAAATGAAGGTGTGTATCTTTGTCCCAACAAATGTTCTTTTATGCCCCATAGGTCCCCAAAACACTCCTACCCAGAAGTCACCATCAAGGCGATGCCTCGCCTCGGCTACTGGCTGGTGAAGGTCGTGTGTGGGGACCGCGACAAGCTCCTGTTCGACATCGCCTGCACCCTGGCAGACATGGACTACGATGTGTACCATGGATCAGTGGACTGCGGCAGCGATGGACGCACAGCATATCTGGAGTTCTACATAAGGCCAAGGTTTCAGGAGGTGGAGTGGGATGAGGCACGGGTGGAGATCCTGAAATACCTTCTGGAGACAGCCATTCAGAGGCGGTTTCCAAGGGGACTAAAGGTGCATGTGCAGCCGCAGGCAAGCCAGGGGTCGCTAGGGGCGTTCATGCAGGCAGTCAAGGAGGGGGACCTGTGCGTAACAAGGTGAGCACATCCCGTGTCTAGCGACAGTGTTACATCACAATTGTGCTTGAAGAGCTCTTGAAGGGGCTTGAATGGCTCTTGAAGAGGTCATGTGATTCACTCCAGGTAATGGCGAGTATGAGTGCCTTGGGTTTGGGCTCTTACAGTCTCCCAGACACGTCTGCTCTGCAGATATCTGGGCGTAGGGTAAAGGCCAGGGAGAGTCTTTAGATGAAAGCTTCTGCTTGCTTTTTCTCTTGGGATTTCGAGATGCTGTTGGACCTCTCTGTCCCCAACTCATGTGATACCCCCTTTTGTTCAGTGATTCAACGGAACACCAACACTAACAGCTTGAGTGCATCATGTCTTCGCTCCCTGTTGTGAATTTCACCTTCGTATTCTTGGAAAATGTGAAAGTACTTTTTTACATATTTGGAAAAGCAGTTGTTGTGCTTTGCAGTATGCTTTTTCTATTTGGCTTTGAAAGGAACTGCAGTGCGAAGGGTCTTTCACTAGTCTGGCGATATCCAGCACTATGTGCAATACAAGAATGGAGCTGAGAATCAATGTTTGCTCCAGCGCACCCCAAGCATCGCAGCAGGCTGCTGGTGGAGCGCTTCCCACCAACAGATCTCCACATAGGGTCATCTTGCCTGGAAGCCCATTGGTGATTGTTGCCAGTTGTCCATGTGAAACGCAAGAGAAGTAGCTCATGTTATACCTTGTCAAGGCTGGAAACCAATGTTGCCTTGATATCAAAGGTATATTGCTACTAGATGTATGCAAATTTACTATTGGTTTGCTATTGTTTTCCTGCTGGTTTCCAAATGGTACTATGCACACAGCAGGGTATGTGCTTCCAAAGGGCTGGGAGTGCTGAGGTAACCTGGTGCATTCCACAGGGCCAAAGTGAGACGCCAGGTACCTGGCAGGGCCCCAGGACACACGTTCTACTTGCTGGCAGCGGATGGCTCGATGCCGTGCCCAAGCCAGGTCCAAGCCGCCTGCTGCAGGCTTGGCGGAGAGCTGGTTTTGGAGAGGGGGGTGGACGGAGGGTCGTCAGACGAGAGCGTTGGCGGTGCACACCGCGAGGAGCGCAATTTCTGTTACTCTTTTCAGGAAAGGCAGCGAAGTCAAGAATGGGAAGATAACAGTTCAAGCAGCACCGCGAGCACCGCGAGCATCTCACTGTAGGCCACATGGCCTGTGTGAGACTCGGAATAACCCGCTGGGCGCGGGGGCGGTGACTCCATTCCAGAATGCCCAGTCGAACAAGTAGGAGTTGCACAGAAAGAAAGCTTGGCCGTGACTTGCAGAGAGATAGGTCGACTGAGGCATAGCGCTGACAGTGGAAATCCTTGAATTGCGATTGCGTTCACAGGGGAGACCCGTGGCCTTGTGCCTTCAAGGCAATACGCATGGCGGCGTTTGGATGTGCGAACGTGGTGCTTGGTAGGTAGTAGGGGGGTAGGGGGATTGAAGGGATTCATTAATTCATGTGCTGGTCTGCAAGAGTTTGTTCTGGGGCACAGAGGATAGGTGGCGATGACTTGTGTGGGTGTGGGCAGTTCGAGGATGTGCTTTTTTCTTCTTTTGGCAAGACGTGCCCCTGCGGGGGACAGCTTGCTGTTGGGCATTTGGGCGTAACGTTTCGCTTTTTCTGCAGGGCATAAGACTGCCTGGACAGATGACCACAGTTGTGGCCGAGGGCCAGAAGGGCTGGCACATACGGGAGGGGCGAGGGCTGCTCTTTTTTGGCCGTTGAGTATTGGGCGATGGCTGAGCTAGTCGTGCAGGGCCTGACCACTGCTGTGTGAATCTCCTTCTTGCAGAAAGGGAACATTGGCTGCTTCTTGTTTTGGTGGTGTACAGTACATTGGTGGACAGAGAAAAGGGAATGGGGGGACATGCATGCGATGTTGCAGTGGCGATACATCTGGAAGTTAAACAATGTCCCTGAGCTCAAGGTGCGTGTGAGGCCATGTGCTAGGGGCGCTTAGGTGACAGCCTCGAATGCGGGCAGTCTTTGGTTTTTCTTTGATTATATCCCCTAGCTAATCCAGGATGTAGGGCGTTTAGCAACATTCAAGGAATGACCGGGTTGTATCTTTACTGGGGCGGGTGGAGAAGTGACAGACATCTCTGTAGACTGAGATGGGCATCAGAAGAATGACAGCGCCAAAGCCTTGCAGATTGTGTGCACTTGAAGAGGTGCCTTGCACTGAATGGATTCAGTCCATATTTGGAGACCTGGAGTGTGCGTCCAATGATGGAAGGGGTGGGGGTTCAGAAATCTGGCAGACAGTGGATTCTTGGTTTTGCTGTGGCGAAGTGTTGCATAAAGACAGGTGTTACACACAGTTGGCAGCAGCTGGCCAACAGATCGGTCCCATTGGCACTGCAGCAAGCGGTTCTTTCCTTTCAGCACATTGGAAACTGGGCTGGCACTGTGTCCTGCGCTGAGTCGTACCCATGTGGATATGACTTCCATCAGGGACAATCCACCACACAGGATGAGGTTGAACATGGGACACTGCCATGATGGTGACCCTGCGCCGCCGCAGCTGGAATGCCTGCCGGCGAAGGGAGCGACCAGCCATGGGTGAGCCTGTTGGCTGCTTGTCAAGGGTGGCACTTGAACCGCCTCTGCTTGCACCTACGCCCATTTGCTGGGGTTGGCTTCTTTCCTTCAATCGTTGCCTTCTCTGACAAGTTTTCCCTCAGCAGTTCCCATGAAGAGCGTGGCGTCAGCGCTTCAGTGCATCCGCAAATTGGGGAAGACGCCGCGTGACCGTTCCTGAGGGTCGTTTTGACACGCCGATGTGAAATAATCACGACGCGGGGGCTGAACGGATGGCCTGGCCTTCGTTGTTCAGGAACTCTTTGTCACTCCGTCGCCTCCAGCTCGCTCCCGGACCACCTCCACCGGACAGCCTCCCGAACCCTCCGGCGACTCACCAACGCGTTGGGGGACACTTGCCGCGCGACACCATTCGCGTCGCTTCGCGTCCTCCAGCCACAACATTCGCGGCCACCCGCCAACACCGGCCAAATACGGCCAAATACGGTGCCCCAACTCCGCAGATCGCCCAACAGCCAAACCGAGTCGGTTTGCCCAGCCCACCGAAGGAGCCGCCTGACAGCTTCCCCGCACTCCAGCCTCCTTGATCCGCGCCCAGCGCCCCTTGGACCGCCCCAAAGTGCGCTCGCCCGCGTTCTCCCACCGCCGCCTCCCCTACGACGCTGACAACCCGCGGCCTGCGGGCGACCCCAGGGGCCCAGAGCGCCGCCGGCTCCCCGCATCGGCGTGTGGGGCGCGGCGAAAGCCACGGGGGACCCAGGCGGCCCCGGCGGCGAGCCCGGCGCCCGGCCCTCCTCGTGCCAGTTCCCCTGGCCGGTGGGCGCCGGCGGCTGGCTGGGGGCCTCGTCCTGGTCCGACATCCTGGACGCCGTGTCCAGTTGCCTGATGCCCAAGATGACGGGCGCGCGCAACGAGGCGCTGGCGGGCCTGCTGGACGCGGACGAGGAGGGGCCCCTTGGCGAGGACGACGGCCTCTCGAAGGTGGCATACGGTGAGCGCGCCTGGGGACCCGAGCCCCGTCCGTGCACTGTCCTCCGTTGCTCACCGCCCGGCCGCCTGATGTTCGTGTCCGCGTCAATGGATCTTGTGTTCCGTTCGCACCGCACGTTGGACACGTCTTGGGCACTCGACACTGCCTGACAGTGCACGGCAAGACCCGAGCCCCGCGAGTGCCTGGTCGCCCGTGCAGGCCGTTGGCTGGTCTGGATCGCGGATCGGGGTTTGTTGTGGCGGAGGGGGGGCCCTGCCTGGCGTGTCGTCCAAAGCGCGATCCGGCGCAGAGGCCTCCCAGCTGCCGGCGGCTTGAGCGGGCGAACGGCGGCATGGATGCGGTCGGGGTCGCTGAGATGTCCCCGCGGCGAACGGACGGTTCCCTGTTTGCCGTGGGTTCGAGGAGGCCGCTGGCTGAGTCTCTGGAGCTGGCGGGTCGTAGGGATTGGGATGGGTGGGGGTGGGCTGGGCAGTGGAGGTGATCGGGTGCGCGGGTCTGTGCGTAGCAGTCCTCGCGGCGCCGCGGCGCAGGAGTGCTGGCCCAAAGTTCCTCTGTGGGCCCTGTGGCGGGGTCCGGCAGAGTTGTGAGCACCGCTCCTGCCGATGCTGCCTGGGTTGGATCTCAACCGGCCGGCCCGGGGCAGCCGGTGGGGTGGGGTGGGGGTGGGGTGGGGGTGGGGTGGGGGTGGGGGTGGGGTGGGGGGCAACGCTTTTGGGCGGCAGTCGCCGTGCGATGAGATCCACTGTTGGGTTTTGTGGGGAGCGAGCGGGGGGTTTGTGGCGCAGAGGAGCACATGGCGAGGGTGCAGGCGGAGGCGGATGCCCAGGACAAGGCACGGCGCCTGGCGGTGGCCCAGCAGCAGCTGGCGGAGTACGCGGCGCAGAAGGAGGAGGACGCCGCGGCGCTGCTGAGGGACGCCCAGGCGCTGGCGCGGTCCGTGGGGGGCGGGCAGGAGGGCGGGGAGGGGCTCCGGGCGGCCACGGGGCTGGGCGCGCGGGTGGAGGCGCTGAAGAACAGGCTGGCGCAGGCGGCCGCGGAGGCCAAGGCCTACGCCGCGCAGCACAGGGAGGACATGGAGCGGAGCAAGCGGTCGTCGGCACAGGTGGGGGGGCAGCCGGGGAGGGGGGAGCGGGCGAGGGCTTTTGTGATGCAGTGGGGCCGGGTGTTGGGCGCCCCTGTTGTTGTGCAGTGGGGGTTAAGATTTGTGACAGAGAGAGAAAGAAACAGGTCGTACAAAGGGCACCCCCTCCTAAACAAGTGTGTGTGAGACTCTTTTACTTGCTGTGAAAAGACGATATAGAGCCTCCGATGCGAAAAGAGTGCAGGGTGGGTGGCCATGGGGTAATATTTATTGGCCAGTTTCAGAGCAGTCTTGCCAATGCTTGGTGGGTGCCTACCAGGGCCGCCTGCGATCAATGTACATTCGGGCAGTTGCATCGCACCATTGTTGTCATTTGGTGTGCCACTGTCAGGTCCCTAGGGAAATGGTTTGGGGGGTGGGTTGTTTGCAAAGGGTCCAAAGGGTGTCTTGCGGATGCAGCATGGAATTTTGGTTGTGCGGTGAGCTGTGCATTCATGGTGGTAGCTTCTTGGGGATCCTGTTTGGATTGCAGCTGCCCTTTCATGGCAAGGCGGTGCCTTTCCATCCAGAAGGTGCTGAAGGACATGGTGGCGTGCATTGCTCATCAGATTGCAGGGAGGGCGAATGGTGATGTTGTTGCTGTAGAGCCCTTGTCGATGCTGGACCTGAATGTGCTTCAGCACGTGTTTGAAGCAGTACCTCCAGCAACCTGCACATGCTAGGATTGGGGTGCTTGTGCCACCTTGATCAGCTTTGCAGCCTTTGCAGGGTGTAAGAGATATGCTTGTGCAACTCACAGTCCCTGCGCTGGTGCCTGTTTTCATATTGTTAGTCATCCTGGATGCTGAAGCTGTCCAATAAAACGGTGCTTCAGGCGGACCTGCCATCAGACGATGTGGACATGAAGAGGCCAAGGGAGAATGGAGTTGCAAAGGATGATGAAGAGGTAGGACAATGACTTGCTTGTCCCAAGAGCGAGCAGTTGCTTGAACAACGGTGGCTGCTTGAGTGGACATGTGCAGGCACCTGCAGCTGTAGAAGCCTGTTTCATTGTGTTTATGCATTTGGAGCTGTAAACCTTCAGTGAATGATTGAAGTTTTGACAGAAAGTGGCAGCCTAATGCAGTGTCAACTTCATTTGGCACCTAATCACAACTGGTTGAGTTCATGCAATGCACAGTGTTCGAGTCAGCATGTGGAGGATGTGTCTAATTGTTCTTCGGGCGCACTGTGGCACCATCGATTATTAAAGACCTGCTGTGGCACCATCGATTAGCAAAGACCTGTGGTGCTTGATTGCATTTGCACTGCACCTTGAGCTATGGTGGCAATATTGAGGGCTTGTATGCATGCCACCTCGGCCCATGATGCTCAACAGCCAGCGCTGTGCTTGTGCCTTGCAGCTGTCGGATGCTGTCACAGACAGTGATGACGAGGACTCTATTGAGGAGTCCACTATGTGCTCCAGCAGCTCGTCATTTGCCGAACGCTGCAAGTACATACCCCTGCGCCTGTCCTATGAGGAACGCAACAAACTGAGGCTACTTGAAGCTGCTTTGAACGTCAGCGAGTACACTGACAAGGTGGGGTGCAGCTCAGTGTAGAGCAATGGTTTGAGCCTCGTTTGGCAATCCACAGTGTCCATCCATAAGTTGGTTTTCGTCCAGCTGAATGGCTGCTAAACACAGATTATCATTTTGCTTCATTCTCTATGCTGAATGGGACAGCATGGCCTAATTCTTGACATCCTACTTTCCTGTTGCGAAGGAACAGTCTCTGAAGTGCAAATGTACATATCTGCCGTGCCAAAATGCGAGCTTCTGTGCAGGGCCCTGGCAGTGATGTTGTGGCGATTGCTGCCTGCAGGTTGACATATTGTCATGGGAGAGGAGAACAGCTCGGGTGCACAAACAGATCCAGAAGATCTGCTCCATATTATCTGGCCTTGTTGTTGCACAGGACTACAGGCAGGGGCAGAGGCTTATACAAAGCCGCGAGTTCTGCGACAATGCACGTTACTTCCAGGTGTGCCCATATCACATCCTTGTGCGGACCCGCTGCCTGACCTTGCTTAGGACAGAAATTTTCAGATAGTGAAAGTCACTGACTCTGAACCCTGCATGTGCAGACCATATTCGAAATTGGACGGAGGTACAAGATCATGAACCCAGACAAGATGCGAGCCGAGTATGGCAAGATGACCTACATGTTGATGGTATGTGATGGTGCGTTTTCTCATGTGTGCTTGTCCATCCTTCAGGGGCCCAACGAAAAGGAGTCGAAAAGGAAAAAGGAGGAAATTCGTGACGGTTTTCTTTTGATTTAATTCTAAACAGGGGGCTTTTGACTTCTGCTGACATTGGGCAAGGAATGGGGACAAGCCATGTAGTTGCAAACGCCACAACCCAGCATCGCCTAGTATGTGAGCGGGCTGTGTTTTCTTCGTGCTCATTGGTCAGCATGAGTCAGTCATGGGTTCATGCTCATTAATGCTTGTTTATTCATTTGATGAATAGGTTACAAGTTGAATATAAGTTGAATTATGAGTTGAACACCTTGTATCCAGGGCAACTGTTGTGAATGATGTTTGCACTTCTGGTGGTTGTGGATGTGCCTGTTTCACTGTGCAGCCCCCTAACTAAGGTGACAACTTTGCAGGATTCCACTGATGACAACATTCAAGAGCTCCTTGAGTTCCGGTGCGTGGCCCCATTGAAGACCGTCAGCAGCCTGCTGAAGGAAAAGAACGCACTCCAGATGCTGCAAGACCCCATGATGGAGAGGGCGACTGCCGAGATCGTTGCCTCGGACAGGCCGAGATATGAGGTGAGAATGGAGGCCGGCAGTTCGGCTACACGGCATGCTTGTCTTCTTTCAGAAGGTGTTGGGTACCCAATTGTTAATTCGAACAGCACATGCAACACCTTGCTGAGCCCTGTTTCTTGAGACAAGCATTTGTGCTAGGGCAGTCTGGCTGCAAGAGGCATGCACAAGCTTTTGGGTACGGTCTCCACAGTGTGGAAGTGCAGAGCTTGGATTCGCATTTGTCAACGCCCCCACCCACTAGTATTTTGAAGGTGCCACCAAACAGTTTTGTACAACGTGGGATTGGATTCAGGGCAAATACGCTACCTCTGTATAGTTAAGTATTGTTGTTCTATGTCACTGGATATGGACTGTGGTACCAAACAGAACCCCAGAGTCTGAAATTCGAGCACAAGTTGCTTGCTGGCACAGTTTCAATACTGTTTGGCATGGATTTCAGTGTTGCTGATGCAAAGGCAACTTTGCATCAGATTCAATACAAGACCAGGTTGAGCTAGGTTGCATTTGTAGATTTGGGAATGAGGTTGATTTGGCACCCATTTGTGTCCTTGCTGTCACTGTGCTTCTGAACTAGAAACAGAATTCAGCAGTTCACCTGACTCAAGTAATGCTTCGAATGCTTCAACTGGCTCAAGCAATGCCTCAACTAACTCAAGTATGATGGCATTCAAAGTTTCGACTGCCATTTTCCATCATTATGATCTCAAAACCAGAAGTCAGAATCAGACTTTGTGATTGGTGAATGGTCATCACCTTGATAGCTGGTGAATGGTCCTCACCTTGATAGTTGGTGAATGGTCCTCACTTTGGTAGTTGCTGCAGTGGGGATATTGCTGAGTTTGACGATTCTGGTCCAAACAGAATTGCACACTTTTGAACTGCTCTTGCCTCCTTTGCTGCAGATTCAAAGGGACATCAAGGCCAAGGAGAGGGCACGAGAGGTCATCGCGCAGAAGTATTCATCTCGATATGGCGTCTCCCGGGTACTGATCTCTCAAACACTTTGGCAGCTATGCATCTTGTGGACAACAGTGTGCCTGGCATGCTCTTTCTGCTTTCAACAAGACTTCATGAACCTAATGCGCACTACCACTTGGAGAATGATCTTGTTGCACTGCAAGAGTCGTGTGTTGACGAAGTTGGCAATCTCTTGTTGTGAGCAGAGGTTCTCTGTGGCCATGTGGGAGCAACAGACTCACATTTCTTCCAGCCCTGAGCAAACCATGTACTCTTCAGGACCTCGTTAGAGGAACTCGCTTGGGCTCGTGAGCATGTTCTGAAACTACCTCTTGACTTCATTTGATGGGCCTTGCACATGTCTTGGCAACATGAGTCCTTTCTTACTGTTCCGAAGTCTTGAAAGTGAATCGACACAGTGGAACTGGATAATGTTTTGTGCAGGGGTTCACTCTTCTGTTGTGTTGGCAATGTCCCCGTGTGCAGGATGACATCCTTCTGTGTCTGTACTCCATCTCGGACAACAACTCTTTCTTGCTGTACAACCGCGACCCCGTGGACCGAATGATCAAGTACCTGACAACCTTCTTCAAGCCTGATAGCTACGATCCTGGCTTCTCCTTGTCCATCTCAGCTGGTTCTGCTGGCGCACGGCTGAGCCACAGTCATGAAAGGTGGGACTACAAGCGTTCATACAGTAGGTTTTGAAGAATTCAAGGCAATCTCTCTTTGAGACCATTCATGTGATAGACTTGCCGTTGTTTCAGCACATTTCATGGTTGAACTGCCTGGCACTGTTCAAGCTGAATCTTACTGCAGGAAATTGAGGCTTTTCGAAGAGAAGGGGTGGGGAGGCTTGTCAAGAGTATGCACTAGGTTTGGCCAGCCCTAGTATACTTTCTTGGTCTTTGTGGTGGGACCTTGCTTACTGTCTCCTCTTTTGCGCTGCTATCTTGTAGAGCTGCAGTCGATTGTGGATGAGCAGGGGCATGTTTGAGTGTCTGGGGCGATCTGCACTGGATACATATGCAGTGGTGTTTGACCCTGCTCTTATGTTCCATTATAACTCTGGCTGTGGCTTTTGCAGGCAGTACCATTACGTCCATCAGACGCTCACACTTTGGCGAGAGATCAGCAATGACATGTTCAAGTTGTGGTGCGTGGCCCTGGGATGTGCTTGTTCCTTTACTGGGGGCTGCGTGGGTGCTCCTCTTTCTTGCTTTGCTCCTACGCATGTTGCAGGATGTGGTGAACAAAACAGCTGGTGTGTATATCCTTACAATACAGCTGTACTCAATTGGATTGGGATGCACATGGTGAACAATGGGGGAGCAAACAAAATGGAATGGTGCAGTTTGTCGTTGACTGGCTGTTGGCTCTGCGGGCACCACGTTTCCTGTGAGAGAAAGTTGCTGCGAGCGATGGGGTGATCTCCCACGTGTTCTTTCCTTGGGGAGCACTATAGTGCATGGTGGTCCCCAAAGCATTGTGAACGATATTGTGTGGTGTGGTATAAGAATTCGTCTATCTTCTGTTGTCTTGTCTTGCAAGCAGCAGCGATGATCTGAATACAGCAGAGGAATGTGTGAAGACCAGTCCTTCGTTTTTGTGTGACTATATTGGACGCATTCATTCAACATTCAGTGACACAAGAGTTGCAACTATTCTCTTTTTGTTGGCTTCTTCTCTGCACTAGTGTTCCTTCTCTCAGGAGATTGAAAGATCTGCAAGTGCATAAATGAATTCTCAACACAGGACGATCCAGAATGTGCAGGGTTTATTTGTTTGCCCTGGCCTGCATCAGGTTCCTTGCTGATCTCGACCTTCTGGATTCGGAGAACTGCTACCGCCTGACAGACACGGGTCAAGGGTTGAACAGAGTGCAGCAGGCACCTAGGGTAAGCAGCACAGGGTCATGTTGCATGGGTGCAGCCGAGTTAAAGAGGACCAAGTCGTAGTAGAGCACATGTTTGGTTTCAACATTTTCCAAACTTTGTAATGCATAGGATGTATAAAATCGATGGTCAACAACTGGCTTATATGATAGCCATGTGCACAGCGCAATTCCTCACTGATGTGCGGCACAGTGCTGGCGGTTTGATGGTGGATCGATCCTGGTGGACTGGACTGTTTCTTGCATTCAAAGTACATTCGTTGATTTACTTGTTGATGCATCTTGCAGATACGTACCTTATCTATCTTCTGATTCCATTTGCTGAAGTGTGACCCAAAGCACTGACGGCGCTGGTTGAGGGTGCATTCATATCCCCTTGCTCTGCACACAGTTTGCAAATCGGAATCAGCCTGCTCTTGGCAGGTGGATTCGGGACAGGTTGCTTTATGTCCAGGTAGCGGTTGATAGGTGCCATATTCTGTTCTGGGACTTCAGTTGTGGCTCTTGATAGGAGACCATGATTGCATTTATTCATGTACTGCACTGAACTCTTTAGCACTATTGTGAGGCAAGGCACAAGAATGTTATGTCCTCACTGGCGGCGAATCTTTCTTGTGCTTGCAGGTTCGAAAGGCTGTGTTTGAAATCATTGACAGGTGTCAACGACGGATTGGGCACTGGGTGGGATCGTCTGTTGTTCACCTTGGCGATCACAATGTGCCAAATGCACTCATGTTCATCGATAAATACACCCAGGCAAGAGGACGTCGTGAACATGTGACCCTTGTCTTTTGTGCCCGAGCTGCGTTGTGGCAGCTGGAAAGGGCAGAGCATGGGATTTTCAACAGGCATGGATTCTTTTGATCAAGTGGTTCTGGCAGAAATTGGCATCCATATCAGCATTTGTATTTTAGTTTGATCATTGTGTTGAATTACTGGATATGAATTGGGAAAATAGCCAGTTGGTGATCATTAATGGTGACTTATTATTGACAATCATATGATGGGGAGAGAGTGCACACCACGTTCAATATGGAACTGCTCATGTCTTCGTGAAAAGCACTATTGCACCAGAATGTATGATGGTATCCATGTGGTTGTTGACTATGAGATGTTGACATGGATGTTGAATTGTATCGTTTTATCTGTGTGGTGCTGGATCTTGTGCCACACTACCCAATCGAATAAGAATTCTGTTGGCAGTGCAGTGCCTACCTACAACAGATCAGTTGTCAACAATGACACACCGCTGAGTCAAAGGCCTGTGATGCGTCTCAACAGGTTCCTCGAATTTTGAACCCAGTGGTTCTGGCTCTGGAGGAGATGCCAAAGCTTTATAGGACTCCACACCTTCGACAGTACATTGACAATGCATTTGGTATGTCGCTGGGTTTTGATCAGCGCCTGCTCTATATAGGCCTATTGAATACACATCTTTGCATGCTTCTGAAAGAGCACATTCGAGTAACATATAGTATGTGTTGACTATCCAGTGCATTTTGGGCAGAGCAGTATGCTGCATATGCATGCCTGACCCATCTTGCTTTCGTCGGCCCAGAGCCACTATCCCCATGGCATGGACACCATGCTGTTTGGCAAAGGGAAAGACTACTGGGGACCTGCCAACAGTAGAAAATCAGAATGGAAGTGTGCATTTGTTTCTTGTGTTAAAGTCCGCATCGCTTGCGTTTGTCAGAATTGGATACACTTCGCTGTGCACTTGTCAAATGCGATTTTGGCCTTTGAATTGATTTGCTCTCCTGCACATGACCTTGGGGTGCAGCGAACGGGGAACTTTTGCTCTCTTGAGGCGGTGGTGGTCACTGCAGGATGTGAGAAACAGCGCTGGGTTGTGTCTGGCCTGCAACTGAACGAGTTCTTTACTGGTCCTGATGCACCCAGGCTCTCTCGAGGATTGCATAAAGACTGTCCTGGTGGACTTTTTTCGGCACGCATTCGATGGGAGCGGTGCTGACAACTTCTTTGATGCCGGCTCCTGCATAGATGGAAGGTGAGCGCTGAAGGAAACTCTAGAGATATGGATCGCCTGGCAGTGTGGAAGTTTGGGAGGTTTTGGTGTGCAGGAACCCTTGTTGGGTTGCTGTTCATCTAGCACTGACGATGTATTGGATGGGCGCTGCTATTGTTGGGTCGATTGCATGCTGGTAGCACATGGTCGCCAATGGCTGCCGGCCAAAACACACCTCAAGGGGCGACGGATGCCAAAATCGGTGTCTTTGGGTTTGCTGGTGCGCAGTGCCATTTCCTTCTGGCGTCCAATTGGTGCCACAAAACTTTGGCTGAAATTCGCAACCTATTCAGTGGTGTATGTACCTGAGGCCCAAAACTAATGCACCGTGGAGCCCTCGCTTTCACCAAAAGGAGCTTGCAGTGTTGCTACAAAGTTTCCATTTACACTTTCTGTGTGCCGGGGCCACATGCCCTCGCATGGCGATGCAAGTCATCCCAACGTGCATGTACTGTGGCGCAGGCTCACATCTGCATGGAACTGGTGCAACAAGATCGAGAAGAAGGACTACCATCACATCTTCAAGCTCGCAGGTCTTGTTGGGTTTGACGGCGACTTCAAGTAGAATCTTGTAGGCATGAGAGGGGGAGTTCCTTTCGGGGAGGGTCTGTTTTTGGCTTTAGATAGTCGCTCTTTGGTGGTGGGATGTTTGTGAGTGTGCCCGGGTCCGTGGGATTCATCCCAACGAGTGCTGTTTGGAGCAACAGCTCGGTTGGAACGGGGTGCCCTGTTTGGGGTCCGTCGTTCCCAGGGGAACATTCTTTCATGGTCAAAAATTGTTTTTGGGCGTGCAAAGTTGTAAAAAAAGGGATGCCACGCCTCTGGCTGTGCTGTTCTGGAGGGCCTCAGAGGGTCTCCTCAGGCCGCTCGGCAGGAGAGAACGATTGTTGTACGTGTGTTTGGACTGATGGTTGTTTTGGTTTTTATGGCCGCTGCTATTCTCGATGCTGCCTTCACTGAGGGGTCCTCAGCTTTTCATATCAGGTCGGGGTGTGTGATTTTGCGTCCCTTAGCATTCAGGAATTCTTCTGCCCTCACAGTTCCATTAATAGCGTTTGTAAGGAACCATGACACATAGAACTACTTTGGCCTATAAGCGACGATGGGCGCCGCAACAGGTGTGGTTGTACAGTGCCCTCCAGATCAAATTTCCCCCTCACCGCCTGTCCAGAGAAAAGGCACAATCTTCTGCGTCGTTACAGGGAGGGATTGGAAGGATGGTGGTGTGTAAGCAGTGTCAGCGGGATTTGTCGCAAGGGGGCGTGGAGGGGGTAGCATGGCCGTCAGCGGTGTCGGCAGGGCTCCCAGTTGCCCCAGCGACGCCACGGGCCACGAGGCCGCGATGTTGCAGACCCCCTGTGGTTTGGGAATTGGGCGACGTCGCAGGAGGTTGGGCCTCTCGTGCCCGTCCATCTGCGCAGAATGAAAAGGACTGCAGAACAGCCCCAGAGGCATCCGTGCGATGAAATGAACTGGGAATGTTGAATGGCCATAGCGTGTGACTGCCTGTCAAGGCTGATGAGTCACGGCCACGTGTGCACACTCTAGAGGATATGCCCAATCCAGATCCCCAAACAAAGGGATCCCAAGGACACACAACAACCTATTGCTACTCCAGCTGCAAGTGCACAGGCCAGCTTAAATTGGACTGGGCTGGAGATAGGACCAGCAATCACACTCGTCACAGGCTGTGACGTGACAGGTGCTGCTTCCCTTTCCTGCCTATTCTGGTAGCGCCTTACACGCTCAGAATTCCATAGAAAATTCAATTGCCCTTTCAGTCTGGCTATTTCCCTGGCCAGACTAGCAAGCTGGAGAGATTCCCCGCGCATTAAAGGGCAAATGAGGAGTCCGATTAGTGCACCTACTTTCCGAATTAGTCCTGCAGCCCCCGCTGCCAATACTGGTCCTTGGATAATCAAATTGATACTCGTTAAGGTTAGTAGAGCAGAACCGACTGCCTTATAAAGTTGGGACAGTTGGTTAGGGCTTATAAACACCCTTGTCCAATCCTTTATATGATTTTCAGGATTTTGGACACCTTCAAACGAGATCAGCACGTCATCAACATACAGCTGGACGTCCAGTTTTTAGAACTAACGTATTAAAGCTCTGTGCGAGTCAGTTTTCAAAGACTTTCTCTGACAGCTCGTTCCAGCTTTTCCGCAGCTGACGAGCTTGACCTTCTTTCAAAGATGGCCTCTGAGTCTCCTGTGTGTCTTTATACAGGTCAGCCTTCACAGGAGCTGGGGGGCACTGGGATGACACAACTTTTACCACAGGAGTTTGAACTCCGATTTCCTGGTTCAGTTCTTTGGGGCTTTCCTCAGTCTGACTCATGCCTTAGAATCTTTCATTGGACAGCATTTAGAGGAAAACGAACGAGACTTGTATGTTTCCAGTCTTGTAATGGATTCGCACTCCTTTCAGCCTCTATTTCCCTTTAGTACTGGACCTTGCTGAGGCAGTACTTTTTCAGTTTCGGACTGTCCTTGACTAAGCGCAGAATTGACTCAACTCTCCCTTACCTTGATTACTTACCTTCCTGTTCTGTCGCTTCCAGTCACGCTCAGGCCAGTTCCCACTTCAAGGGACCAAATTATCCAATAGCCTTTTCGACAGGCTTCCAGGATCGCGGTATGTACTATATATCTTTATCTATTCAATACTTTAGCCTTTACCTCTGTACTTTAGTGGGAGCCCCGAAGGCTTCCCCACAAAGTACAGGGCCGGACCTGGGACCCCGCAGGCTTCCCCAGTAGATCCGGCCAAGAGACTTTACTAGATTGATAGACGGTTTGGGGCCCCGCAGGCTTTCCCAATAGACCGGTCTATAATCAGTAAATGACTCTTTAGATGGGACAAAGATCGAATAAACGCACTCCGAAATTAATTACACCATGACCCTCCACGGGCCACAACCTGTACTACAAGGAGCTGTTCAAGTTTTAGGTCACCAGATCCCTCCGCCTATTGGCTTCGGGGTTGGCCACTTCGGAGTGGAAACCGCTTGTCCAGAGGGGTTTGCAACCCGCTATTTATACCCCACAGCTACTGCCCCCATGCCCAAGAGCACCCAGAATATTCCCAAAAGATTCCCCAATAGCTTCCCGGATCATCCCCTCCCTGTCTAGTCAACTTCCCGCTCAAACCCGATCAGGCACTGATCATCGCCTCTAGCTTCACCAATCATTCCCCAGAACCCATTCATATTCCTTTCATACTGCACAGGTCAAATCAATATTCCTCTTAGTATGACCATTCATCCTTCTCACAGCACTACTCAGCGAATTGACGCACCATACCCCCCTTGATTCAACACTCAGAGTTATGATTACCTTGCTTATTAAAACGCCAGACCAAACATTCAATAGTTAGTCAACAATACCTAGTTATTGACCAGCTAGCGATACCCACTTTATCATGCACCGTACCGCCTCAGACCAGCCGGGGTATGACAGCCCAGTCATCCCCTCCGTTCTCCACCAACCCTTTGGCATCGACGCTGGGGTCCATGTCGGTCTCCATGTCATCGTGCACCAGCAAGTCCGCTTCGTTAGCGCTGTCCTCACTCACGACGTAGCCCCTCTGCGCCTCTCCAGCGACCGTCGCCGTCTCCGCCTGCTCCGCGCCGACTCCAACCGCTCCCTCCACTCCAGCGCCCTCCTCCGCATCGCTTGCAGCCCTGGCCTCTGGATCCTCGACCGTGTCGAGGAGTCCATGCACCTTGAACTGCCAAGTCTCCAGGTCTTTGGGGCCCATGCCCCCATGTCCTCCGCCTCGTTCCATTCCCACCCGGTTGCCACCAACTGAGCGGCCGTAAGTTGGCGCTTCGCGGCGAATGCGCACATGGTGCACATGTGATCACATGTGCACACGTCGCAGCCTTCCGCGCCGTAGTCATTCAAGTCGCCCTCTTGGCGAGTCCAGCCGCTTCCCCACACCGAACGCTCGGCAGCGTGCGCCTCTTTTGGCGTCGCACCCTTTCGAACGCGTTCGTTGTAATGTTCCCAATACACATCCCTCCAGTAGCCAGGGAGGCGAGCTTCAACGGCACGATTCCTCGCCTTTTCTTCCTCACGCTCTTGCCTGAGCGATAAGGAATCGCTCAGCCACGCGGCCTCGTCCAAGTGCGCCAACGGCACCGTGGCTTCAATTCGCAGCCAACACTTATGGTGCGAGGCCGCCAATACCTGCCAACGCAGGTCTTTCGACCGCAACAGATAAGACATGGGAGCCCCGCCTTGGCCCTCAGAGGGATGCAAGGCGGGGCCCTCCCCACGGAAGCCAAAACTCCTAGGCTTCTTATGATGCCCGTCATGCTCGGCTGCATTCCAAGCTTCCCCCGTCACAGTCGTCCACGCAGAGTGCTCCATCTGGAACCTTTCCCGCACCTTGGTGCGGAGGCGGAAGCTCCAATGTCGAGTTGGAATGGCGCACACCACATGCGCCTCGAGAGCGAGGCACATGGGCAGCGTCACCCTCGACATTTTCCAGCGCCAAGTCCACGCGAAGGAAGTCCTCAGCCACCATTGTGGCAGGCCGACTCCAATCGGCGATACCCACGCTTCTGGGACGCCCAACTCCGAGTTGATTCCCCTCCGGAGCTCTCGCTGGACATGGCATGGTGGGCCATTCACTCGCGGCTCCCACATGCTGCCGTTTTCCGCGGTCGACTCCATGTCCGTCGGTGCCGGCTCGCTGGGACCAACCAGGACGATAGGCATGGACATGTCCAGCCTCCCTGCACGGTTCCGAGTGGGCACCAGCCTTTTTCGCGGGCTCCTTTTGACTGCGTGCGCAACGCCGCCTCTGAAACGGCCCCAAGGGCCAACTCCACATGCTCCGTACGGTGACCAAGAGGCGGGATGACGTCTTACTGTCCATGTCTGCCATGGACATGATGCAGAACGTATGCGCACAGCGCATTACGTTCTCGATTCATTCTGATGACGCTACCTTGGGAATGCCAGGAGCTGGCAGTCCACAGTGGGGTGACGGCGGACCTGACGGCCCTGATCCATTGTCACATGGGTATTCGAAGGAATCATCGCCAATCCCAAGCAATCGTCGGTCTGACGAGGGGCATGGGACCCAGCCACAGTACAGCCATCAAATTTTGTGTCCGAATGCAGTACTATTTCAAGAGCATTTTCCCGCCCTATCATTATACTCTTTCCTTGATGTACTGCCCCCATAGGACATATCATGCCTCGTCCTTTTTCATTCAGAATACTGATTCTACGATGGTACCGGCGGCCTCCCAGGCCTGCGTCTTTGTGCCCACGCGTCTCCAGGTGATGCGGGTCCTAGCGAGGACCACGCGCGGGCTGCGTGCGAGAGAGCGCGAAACCCAACGAGAGACGTTACAGAGTGTGCTCCGCGCACACTTAACCTGTCAAACAGCATATAATGAAATATATAATGTACAAATGTTAATGTACAGCTAATTTAATGTACTACCAGCCAATGTGAGTGGTGCCACCGGCATCACCAGGTGATGGGACAACTTCCCGTCAATATTCATCATTTCAAGGGGCGGTAGTTGCCGCAGGCCATCTCAGA